TATAATTAGAAAAAAACTGGCTCTGAAATCTTCTGAATATTGACTGTTAATAATAAGGTCACAGAGTAACACTGAAGTTTTGAACTCTACTTTTTAATGGTTGGCTTTGTTCATCACTGAATTTTTGTCTTGTCTTTTGTTTTTCCGTCCAGTTTCAGAAAATTACAGGTGACGCTAGGATTCCTTTGCCTCTCGACTCCTTCCATGTCCCAGTGTCTACTCAGGAGGCCTTAGAAACTTCCAAAGACAACCTGGGGGTCCCAGTCACAGAGCAGCGGCAGGAGTCTTTTGAAGAGTTCATTGCTAGAACATGGTCTCCCCTCAGCAGACATCATTTCTGGAACTGGAAGTCAAAGAAAAGAAGAGGAATTATCTAGAAATAGCAGGTCTTCTTCAGAGAAAATGAGCAAAGCAGGTGAATATACCAAAAAATTCTCTGCTAGGAAACAACCTGGGAAGGACCTGCATTCCTGCTCTGACTCACCTGTAAAGCATAAAAGCAAAGGAATTGGGCAAAATAATTCTTTGGTTAATAAACCAATTAAAAGTGAGTCTTCAAAAAAACACATTTCTGTTAAAGAGAGTAGAATAGTGACTGTTTCATCAAAGACAACTAAAAGTAAACTCAATCTGCTAGAACATTCTGAAAGTGATACTCCTGGATCTGATTGTGAATTTCAAGAAAGCATCCATACTCTATCACGCCTAACATAGGTCTAAATCATTTAAAATTAAGTTTTTGCCTTCAAATTTTAATAAATTACTTATGTTTTTATTATAGCTTATGGTGGTTTCAGTTACTTGACTGGAAGCCATTAGAGAAAGATTTACCTATACTTTTTTATTATAATGAAAGTTTTGGTGTACTTTTCCTTGTGACACTTTGCACCATTCATTCAGCTAGTGTTTACTGAGGGCTTCATATGTACAGTACTTTTCTGGGTGCTATTCAGCAGTGAACAAAATAAAGCCTTTGCTCTCCTGGAACTAGCACTCTGTGTTGGGAGAAAACATAAACAACAAAGCAGGGTGTAAGGGTTAAAAAGATATGGGAATAATAAACGGAATAGTTTTACCATTTGGTTAAACATCAAACTATTATAAATCACATGGCCAGAAGCCATTGAGGTATTTTAATTCACAGTAACCAGAGAGCCTCAAACATTTACCAAGGCACTTACCGTGTTTATGGACTACAGCAACGCTCTGAGGTAGGGAACTGTTACCATCCCCGTTTATAGATGAGGAGTCTGAGGAGACATTTTGTGAGTTGCCCAGAATTACACAGCTGTAAGTAAGTGGGAAGCTGCGATGTGACCCGAACCCATGCTCTATTTTTTTTTTAATGTATGGACTTTATTATGTTTCATTTGTTTCTGATTTATGTGAATATTTTCTTTAAAGATTTTTTCTGATGTCGACCATTATTAAAGTGTTTATTGCATTTGTTACAGTTTTGCTTCTGTTTTATATTTTGGTTTTTTGGCCGCAAGGCATGTGGGATCTTAGCTCCCCCACCAGGGATCGAACCCTCACCCCCTCCATTGGAAGGCGAAGTCTTAACCCTGGACCACCAGGGAAGTCCCCCTTATGTGACTATTTTTATGGCAATTTTTTTAAATTTTATTTTTTTATTGACGTATAGTTGAATTACAGTGTTGTGTTAATTACTGCTGTACAGGAAAGTGACTCAGTTACACATTTATATACATTCTTTTCCGTTACGGTTTATCACAGGATATATAGTTCGCTGTGTTCTACAGTAGGACCTTTTTGGTTTTTTAAAATACATCCACTTTTTTTTAAATAAATGTATTTACTTTTAAATTTTTGGCTGCATTGGGCCTTCGTTGCTGCATGCAGGCTTTCTCTAGTTGCGGTGCGTGGGCTTCTCATTGTGGTGGCTTTTGTTGTTGCAGAGCACGGGCTCTAGGTGCATGGACTTAAATAGTTGTGGCATCGGGCTTAGTTGCTCTCTGGCATGTGGGATCTTCCCAGACCAGGGCTCGAACCCGTGTCCCCTGCATTGGCAGGCGTATTCTTAAACACTGCGCCACCAGGGAAGTCCCATGTAGGACCTTTTTGTTTATCCATCCTGTATATACACCAATTTGCATCTGCTAATCCCAAACTCCCAATCCAACCCTCTCCCACCCCCTCCCCCTTGGTAACCACCAGTCTATTCTCTATGTCCTTGGTTATGTTTCTGTTTCACAGATAGGCAGAACCCAGGC